AATCCTCATTTTGACCTAATATGGGTTCAAGACATTCATTGGATATGTATGTCTATAAAGCACCAACCTTTGGGATGGTTTTGGTGTTAGAATCACTTCTGGAAAGGTTGGACTTCGAACTTTCAGGATTAGGTGCTTATTGGTTAAGCCCTTGCATTATTAAGCTTTATGGATTGGGTTTTGGACCTTTATGGGTAGTCTCAATGGATAAAGTTGGAAACTTTATCCTTCTAGATCATATTTTGGGCTAGATCTGAGCTTTGGAGCTCTTGGAGTCGAAGAAAACAACTGAATGTATTAAGCTGTTGAAACTCAGGCAACCACGGCGTGGTTGCAAGTCAACACGACGTGTTGGCTGGGGTTTTCCCGACTGTTTGGATGATGGATGAACACGCCGTGCCCAAGGGCAACACGGCATGTTGGGTCAACACGGACTATTGACTTTGACTTTTGACTTTGACTAAGTGTGAACTAAGGGGGGGTATTCGAGGTATTTTAAGTTGTATCTAAGGATTTGGTCACTATTTGATGAATAGGTGACAGGTAAAGCTGATATTCGGAGCCGGGACCTATTTAGCTACTGTTCAGATTCAGAGGTAAGTTTCCTCATTGTGATTAGCGGGTCGAAGGCACCAATGACGGCCCATGGTTTGATATTTTAGTATGCTAAGTTGGCTGTGTGACTCTTGCATGTGTTATATGTGTATGTTTACCGAGCGAGGCTCGATGCCGGGCTGGGCCCGATGACTATACTGTATGCTATTATCTTTATGATTATCACATGTGTTTGTATGTTTATATGATTATATGTTTGTATGTATACCGGGCGGGGCCTGATAACTGACAAATCTGTATACCGAGCGGGGCTCAATGTTGGGCGGGGTCCGATGTCGGGCGGGGCCCATTATGTGTTTATTTATGTATGTATGACATGTGATATTTTGGGGAACTCACTAAGCTTTGTACTTACGGTTTTTAGTTTATGTTTTAGGTGCTTCTGATTTTCAAGGAAGAGCCCGAGATAATTGCAGAACACACACCACTCAATTCTGCATTTTGTGATTTACTTTGATAACGATGATGTATTGATAAAATTTGATTACCTTGGTTTTATGACAATGATATGGTTTATTGTTTTTATGAATGTAAAAATAAAAGATTTTCGGGTCTTATTTTTGGGACGTTACATGTACAATCAGCCAGAGCCCGAACAGGAAAGTGATTTGTATGTTTGTTGTGTAAAGAATAGCTCTTGTACACACATGTTTCTATAATATTGTTCTAGTAACATTTATAGGTTTATATTAAGACAAACTTGGCATGATTTAAAGTTTTTTTTAGCTTCCCTTTTGTTAGATTCAAAATTCACACCATATGCAAGAGTTTTCCCATTTACTCATTCTTTTGGTTTTCAACAAAGTCAAAGATCATGTGGTCTTGGATATAGTCAATGGTCAATTCAGTATCGTGTTTACTTTTGCCCGACAATGAGTTACATGTGTTGATAGTTGAGCTGTTCAACATTGAAATCAGATAGTGAATGAGGGTGTGTGTGTATAATAGATATGTGTGGTTAGTATATTATGCTTTGGGTGAGATTCCATCATCCTGTATAAAAGATGCAAGCAGTTTCTCCGATGGTCTAGAAAGAGAAAACAAAAGAAATAGTTGTGATTATACTATATATTGAGATTATTAAGAGAGGATAGCAAGGAAGACAGTGGAGGGTGGGTGGGGTCTATCTTATTTATTTTTAATTAAATTTTGATAAAAAAAATATATAAAATAACATCTAAAATAAATTAAAAAGAGCACAAATGTCATTTTATATGGGTCAAAGTTAGAATACCTTTTTTCTCACTCACATCTCCACCTCTATCATTTTTTCCTAAATCTTCATTTTTTAATAAAGAAAAATGTTTTTTTTTTCTTACCTTTCATCTCTATTATATCATTTCTATATGGATCTAACATGAATAACTTGTTTAAAAGTCATGAACAAGTTCAGAACTCAACCCGAAAATATGAAGAACAAGTTCGAAATTTATGAAGAAATATTTTCGAACTATATCTAGATTTTTGGTCATGAGGGTTGATACCTCATAAATTATTATATTAATTTCGATTTTTAAAGAGTATTTTCCATTATAAATAATTAAGGTGTTTTTTAAAATAATAAAATTGATATTGATATGTCAATGGAGATCATCTTTGAAAGATTGTTGGTAATACACTAGAACATGAGTAATTACAAATGCTGACACGACATAATTCAACAATTAGTAGTATTACATTGATTTTAATTACTTTACACCATCCACATAAAAAAAGTGTTTTTGTGGCGTTTTTTTTAAATAAACTTAAAATAAAGGAAACTAATTGTATATCCAGAACTGAAGAACTTTTTCAATTTGATTATTTATGGACCATAATAGTTTTGTTTTTATTGTATTATTAATTAGGTTAGAAAATAGTTTAATATATGGTTGAAGTTACACTTACAAGTAGAAAGGCAAACAGAAATCAAGCACCTAAACCTAAACACACCCGACATGATGTTGAAATTTTGAATGTTGTTAAATAAAAACCTAAATTTACTAGCAACACATTCATTTCACCTTATAAAATACAGTAAATATGAAAAGAAACAACATAACGACCTAAAACATTCCGTTTTCAACATCAATAGCACCGCACATGATAAATCTAACGATCACCACTAGATTAGAGGGTTTGTGAACTTGTTTATGTAGCCCCAGGAGATCAACACCAAATTTAATTCATATTTCCCTTTTTTCCTTATGTCTTGCAGAGTACCCATGTACTCCTTACGAAAACCAATACTTAAGGGGTGTTTAGATAAATAGTTTTTAGCTTATTAGCTTATTGTTTATTGCTTATTTGCTTATTGCGGTGGGAATAAACACTTTTTTAAAGTGTGTTTGGATTAGCTTATTGCGGAGGGAATAATCAATAAGCAATAAGCATTTTAAGTGTTTGGCAAACAAAACAATTTATATGAGTAAAATGACCAATAAGCAATAAGCATCCCCCATTGCTTAATAAAATCAACTTATTTAGCTTATTCCTAACGCAATAAGCTGATTTTTAAAGACTCCTATCCAAACACTTAAATTTGCTTATTACGGTGGGATTAAACAATAAGAAATAAACAACCTATTTTTCCCTATCCAAACACCCCCTTGAACTTTTTTGCCTTAACTCCAAGATCTATGCCTCAGATCCCTTGAACTCTACTTCTACCAACATTTGGTTCTTGTAATTTACCTGTCGTCCCAAAATGCCAATATTATCACCGTTATAATCTTCAAAAATTATATCTTAATATTTTGTAATTGCACGTGTTATCCCAAATGTCAATATTTTTATCAATTTATAATCTTAGAGCATTTTTAATGGATGCTTATTTTTGAATTTTAATCTATTGATTCATCATTTATTTTCATTTAATACCATTATAATGGATTGTTTTAAACATTCAATCATTTCTATTTTTAACATATTTTATTTTTATCCCCTTAATTATATTTTATTTTTAAATATTTTTCATTTATTTAACTACTTAATTAATTCTATCATGATTTTTCATTTATGAAATGTTTATATATTAATGTCTGATGTTAACTTTAATTTAAAATATTTCATATTTAAGTATGATATGTCTAAAGACGACTAATTAAATGAGGAAGTTTTATGAACATTTTAGATAGACGTGGTTCAATAAATTAAATTCATTAAAAATATTGAAAAAGCTTAACCATTGGATGATTTATTTAATTAGAGGTCAAAAATATTATAATAATAAAATAACAAAAATATTAAGTAATATAATAAGTTTACCATTGAAGATGTACTTAAAATAATTTTTTCTTCTCTGTTGTGTGTTTGTGGAGACAATGATCTAATACTCTTACAAAACGTTTAAGACAATTTACACATTTTCTTTCTAAGAAATATATTATGTTGAAATGATTATCTTATTAACAGTAATTATGAAATAATAATTGTTAAATTAAGTATTCAATAATCTATGAGACAATTTACATCTTCTTTCTAAAAAATATATTATGTTGAAATGATTATCTTATTAACAGCAACTATGAAATAATAATTGTTAAATTAAGTATTCAATAATATCTATCCATAAAATTAAATAAAATTATTGAGTCTGTGTTACTTTTAACTATTAATTAATTTAAAAATTACTTATTTATTATTTGTTAAAAAAATTTTGATCATTATAATTATTTGAAATATTAACATTAGTTTGTAAAGTTATGAAATTTCAAATAACTACCGATTCTGATTTATATTTAAATATTTAGCCCCTTTTTTAGCTATTTTAAATATTTTTTGATAATTTTTAAATTCTATTTGGTATTTTGATTTAGGTTTTTGATTTACCATTATATTTTAATTAACAAATTAAATATATTATATTGATAATTCAAAAAGTTTATAATTAATATGATAATATTTTATTATTAATAACATATTTAAATTAATAAATTTTGATATATATATATATATATATATATATATATATATATATATATATATATAATATAGAAAATTGAATGGATAGAGGTTTCAATTGAATGTGTTGAAATGCAAAATATTTTCTTAATAATATAATATAAATAAATCAATAAATTTGTATAAATTGTTTATTTATAAGTGCTTACAAATATGCAAGTTTGTACAAATAAAACTTTGGTTTCAATACTCTCATCAAATAATTTTCTAATTTGCAAGAGTTTTTTATTCTAAAAAATCTTACCCTGATATTGCAAAGTAAATTACTAATTTATTCTATATGAAAAATAATAAATTATAAAATTTGAATTTACAGTAATATCAAGTTGTGAAACAGAAACACCCATAGGTACATAGATAGAGTCGACTGTGAACCTGGTCCCACGAATTTATAATAGATATTTATAATTCTTATAAATTACACATTTGATCAAATACACTCATCACATACTATCCATTTCCATTTCCATTTCCATTTCGATTCTACCTCAAATGGAGGCCACCGATAAATCTCCACAGCCGTCACTCTCCTTACCATTGCGAACACGCATTGTTCTTTCCGCCATCTCCACTTTCACCGACGCAGCTTGCCGGAAAAACGGCACCGTAAACCGTCGTATCATTACCTTAGTTGACTTCAAGAGCCAGGCGACATCAAAATCAACCAACGGCGTATCAACACACGATGTCGTTCTAGATCAGACTCGTAACCTATGGTTCCGAGTCTACGTACCTACTGAACACGCCGGTGAAGATCTCCCGGTGATGGTGTTCATGCACGGCGGCGGATTTGGTCTTCCTCTCCCCCGATGCTCTTCCTTACGATGCCGTGTGCCGTCGTTTCGCAAGAAAAGTCCGGGCCGTCGTTGTTTCTGTGAACTATCGCCTTGCGCCTGAGCATCGGTATCCAGCCCAACATGATGATTGCTTCGATGTGCTGAAGTTTCTTGATGATGAAGAGAACAGGTCTAAATGTTTGCCGGAAAATGCGAATATGTTACGTTGCTTTCTCGCTGGAGATAGCGCCGGTGGAAACTTAGCTCATCATGTTGCTCAACGAGCCTGTGAATTCAACTTCCGACGACTCAAGGTATATATATATATATATATATATATATATATATATATATATATATATATATATATATATATTATATATATATAATCGTTGTTTTTCCCCACTCATATATTTCGATGAACCACATTTCAATTCTTCTGCTTAATCTTTATCATGTTTGCAGGTCATCGGAGTTGTAGCAATTCAACCATTCTTTGGCGGCGAGGAGCGAACGGAATCCGAGACCCGGCTCGCCGGAACACCATTAGTTTCCATAAAGCGAACAGATTGGATGTGGAATGCATTTTTGCCAGAAGGGGAAGGGTTCAATCGCGACCACCCAATCATCAACGTTAGCGGCCCACAGGCGGTGGACATATCGGAAATAAAATTGCCGCCGGTGATGGTGGTGGTGGCGGGGTTCGACGTCCTACATGACTGGCAAAAAAGGTACTATGAGTGGCTGAAAAAGTCCGGGAAAGAAGTTTATTTGTTTGAGTATCCAAACATGTGCCATGCTTTCTATATCTTCCCGGAATTGCCTGAATCTGGACAACTTATTGACCAAGTGAAAGACTTCATTCATAAAGTATCGAGTAATGTTGCCACTTTGTAACAAATTAAAACCATGGTTAATAATTAGTTTTATTACATATGCATAAATATAAATAGCTGTATCAAAATCATTTTATATTGTATGATTTGAGAAGTCTGATTTTGGGTTCAAGTATTTTTAGACAATTCGAAGCTATTTCTTGTGGCCACATATTTGGTCAAAAACGACGGTTTATGCTGTTTTCGTAAAATTGATCTGTATGCTAACACCATTATCTGTATAAGAGAAGAAAGATGGAGTGAGTTGTTTTAGTAAAATTTATCTAATTTGTTAAATTATAAAATTGAATTTTTTAAACGAAAAATATAATTTGCTATTAAAAGTGATGATATTCCAAACGGTTATATGGGTGGGTTGTTTTCATCAAGTGATTTAGATTCCCAAACTACTATATCAACCAAACAATAAACAATAAAAGTGGCATATGTATCGAAAATGGGCACGTAATATGTGTTACGTTTGTAACATTAAAATTTTTTAAATTAGATTCGTTAAATGAATGACAATATGACAATTATGTAACTTAGATCTTCAATAAGTTGAGGCTAGTCTACTTGGCTAACAAAAAATGTTGGTAATCTAACAACTAATTAGAGTCATTAATTCAATAATTCACATCATGTAAATTAGAGTCTCAACTGATGGAATCATAAACAATTAAACATAAAACATAGTTATTTTGAAATAGACAAAATTGCAAAAATGGTCAATGTGGTATGTATTTTTTGGGGTTTTAATCCAAACATTGACTTTTTTGGATTAGTGGTCCTTTTGAGCTAGTTTCGTTGCAGATTTGGTCCTCAGGTAAACTGAAATGACTGTAATGCCCTTCTGATTTATTTTTTTATATTTTACTAGGTTAAAACCCGTGGAACTCATGAGTGTTAATTTTAAATAGAAAAAATAGATTATGTAATAAAATAATATATCATTAATTTTGAAAAACTTATAAATTGTAATATTGTATTTTTTAATGACTTTGTAATTTGTATCATTAAAAAGTATGTTCCTAAATATACTAAACATGTAGTTTCAAATATTAATATTTTGGATTTATCATTAATCACAAACTTAAGTTGCCCATTAGCTAAGGAAATTTCAACTTTCGGACTTAAAATGTTCAAGTTATATTATGTTTTACTTGCAATCTATCAAACCGATATTCCGTAAAATAATCACAAATCATCTAAAAGACATTTTCTAATGATACAACTTATTACTACTTTTTTTTTTAAAAAAAAACATGCATTAGTATTTGATATTATAGCTTTTCAATCATATATAATACTAATTATTCATAAAACTCATAAAAAATATTGGCTAGCATTTTCAGGTTTCAACTTGCTTGTGAATTGATAACTATATAGTAAGGTTAACTTACTATATTGGTGAATACACCTTTGTATCATGATTTGCTAATTTGGTCATCCAAATATGTTTTACAGCATAAAACCTTTTCCCCTTGCCAACCATTGTCAAGATGTTCTATACAGTTTTGAATATACCTGCTACAATTGACAAATCCCCAAAAAAGACCATTATACCCTTAGCTCTTCTTATTGCACCAGATCATCTCACCTATATTGTTCTTCCTTCTAAGAAAACTAAAAGTCATCAGTTTATAACAAAGGTTAAAGATACTACAATTAGAGTTCAACACCGAAATAAACTAATAATTCATCAAAACTATAACAAACATGATATGTAATCTCTCAAATAATTATGTCTCAAACAGATCTCAGTTGAGTTCCTTTTGTATAACTGTGAAATTTTTTATGAACTTAGCGATGCATTTTCTATTCAACTTTACATCCTTCCAAAGAAGCCAAAATACAAATGCATAACCGAAGGCTAAAGGAAGAATTAAAATAAAAATAAAAACAAATAAAAAAAACCTTAAACTTATACCAAAATACAAAAATGTGTTTTTACAATGCTTACTTGATCTCGAATCCAATTGTATGTATTGGATCAATATCAAATTGAACATTTAGTAATTGGAAAGAAATCGGCAGTAAAAAAAGGTATCAAAGAGAAATTACCTTTGAAGTAGGATGTTGCTCACTGCTAAATTTATAGGATTTACAATGTTGTTATAGAAATGGTAAATTGAAATAGAAGAGAAAAAAAATTACAGTATTTACCAAAAAGTAAATAAGGATCTCACAAACCTGTTATTGAAACATCTCGTCTAAACTGGGAAATTATTCAGCTATCCCACAGTCTGCAAGAATGGTATTACTATTAGAAATAGTTAAATAAATGCAAGAAATAGCAATGAACTTTCATACATGTGTTTATTATATTTATAGCATATCCTATTTTAATGAAATATGATAATTTATAGCAATGCAAAGCAAGTTTATGTAGTAATTTCAAGTTATAATGTCTTAATAGGATAAAAACTGAAAGTACAATGCTATAATTGTATCAGGGGTAGATTAGTAAAATGAATAGTTGATGTTACCTCGAAATATATTCTTACAGTGGACAACCTGGAAAGAGTTTAAAAGTGTATGAGATGGCAATAGTTGAGAGAATGATGGAATGGAATGAGTAATTACTTTCAATTATCATGTTTGGCATGGTTACAGGAATGACATCATTCTAATTTTTTTTCTTTTTTTTCTAATTTAATTAATTACTTTATTTTAATACACAAACATTTTACATGCACAAATATTAAACAAATATATTTTTTTAAACCACAAACAATTAATATAATATAAATTATATTTTTTAAACACATACATTTCATATAATATAAATCGAAACAGTCTTTTCTTGAATATATTTTCAAGTATATTTCTTTTTGTTTCCTCTTTTCCAAATCCGTTATGCCACTTTGGAGTTGCAATATCGAAGGAAATATAACATCTGTTAATGTAAAAATGCACAATTTTAACACATAATGTAACAACTTTAAATTACATTGAGAAAAAAAATTATTAACTTACATCAAATACAAACATGTTCTCTTTGTAGTTGGCAGCATGGCCTGAAGTTTCCCATAGTTGCATGTTGAACATACTTGGTGTGGTAACCTGAAAAAACAATGTTACATTAATTATCTATATATGAACTACTACAACATGAATTTAATATATATATATATATATATATATATATATATATATATATTACCTATGAATAACCTCTTTTTTCATACTCTGTTTGTATAAATGCCATTAGTTTTTTTATTCGAATAAGACACCACGGAAGGAAGGAAGAAAAACACTTACTGGGCTGCAAACAACAAAAATAAAAACTACTTACAATGCTATTAACTATTAGATATATTGTTATCTATAAACTTTACCTAAGTGGATGGAAAAAGAACAAGCTCTTGTTTTTTGCCCAGTTCTCTGTGGTCATCTTTTTTTGGCTTCCTCGAGCAGGGCAATGTATTCCTGTATAAATATAACACAGCCATTATAAAAAAATAACAAAAAAGAAAAGAAAAGAATAAATGAAAAGAAAGTTACCTTGATGCGTTTTTGGTCAGGATAAGATATCTCATAGACTCTTTGCAGATATATAACAACAAACTTCTTCAACATTCATGAAAAGAAACAACCAGGAGCACGAACACAACCATGAAAAATCACAAAATAAAAACTAAAATCAAGCAACGCCTCACCACACCAGAAAAAACAAATGGGTAAAATGGTCAAGGTAATAAGATTTCCATAGTGCCAACATATCACCACTCTTTTCCATAAGAATCACAGCTTAAAAAACCATTTAATTGCATCACAATGTTTCCCTGCTTTATAATTATCCATTCTTTTGTTCTTTATAATTAACAACTTCATATATGCATTTTCAGCATTACTAAATCTGCAGGGAATGATCAAAGAATCTACCAAATAAAATCCATGGCCCTTAGTTCTCATCTATGAATAAAAAAAAGCAACTTAAAGTTCTTTCTAAACAGGGCTCACTCATACATTTTATCAAACACATAATAAGCATGAAATTATGTCATACAAAGAGTTACTTAAAAAAACAGTCATGAAAATTTATACAGAAGAAAAAACTGAAATCAATTGTTGGGGACATGATATAGATATAGAGAACATGGTGAAAAAAAAGGCACCTGAAAGTTGTGTATTGAGGGCACCTCCGACATCCTCCTTTTCTCTTGCATCCATATTTCATCTGCACTTTGTTCCCGAATATTCACTTCTCTCTATCAAATCCTTTCTTCTTTCCTTTCAAATCCCCAAATCAATGCTCTCAATTCGTGTGTTCTCGAGGAAGTTGAGTTTCTTGGATTTTTTATTTTGAGGGGAGATATGGAAGAGGTTGAGGCTGCTTACAATTCCCGATCGATGGTTTTTGGAGAACATTAAGCGCAAACCCAGAACAAAAGCAAAATAACACAAAACCCGATTTCCGCTTCGTCTTCTTCCAACCAATCACAATGCGTTGCTATTTCTCTTTCTTCTCGCCAAAACATCGACGAGTCCCCGGTAGCGACCCACTAGCGAGTGCTAGGGGCGGTGTTTCAAGGTGGCTAGCGAGCGTAGCGAGGCCGGTGGCGACCTCCACTTCGTTTAGCCTTACAACGTGGGATTGAAGAATAAAGCAACAAACTGAAAATGAGCAAAAAAATATTTGAATGATAGCAGCAGCAGAAATCGTAAACAGATGCAAGAGAGAGAGAGATATGTTTGGTGGTATGCATCCAAATCTCGACTTTTTTGGATTAGTGGTCCTTTTGAACTAGTTTTATTGCGTTTTTGGTCCCTCTAAATA